ACATCACACTTTTAACATCATGCTAGCTAATTTATAAAGGGCTCAGAAAAATAAATAATTAACAAAAGGGGAAAAATTTATTTATCCAGGAAGTCTTCTCCTTTTCAGTTTAAGACCTACACATACCTTGTCCTCACAGACATGTATCATTTCTCTCTCTCTTCCCTGCTTTTTCTGCTTTGCATTTATTACTATCTGATTTATATTGTATTTATCTGCCTTCCTCATTGACCGTGTGGCCTGCTGGAATATAGGCTCCGTGGGTCAGGGAGATTTGGGTCTGCTTCAGCCACGGCTGTACCCCCTATAGTCAGAAAGTGTTAGCAGCTTCTTGGTGAACATTTGTGAATTACGTGAATGAATGAATGAATGAATGAATGAATGGATGGATGGATGGTAAAGGTAAGTTACCCTTTATAAACTAGAGATCCTAAAGGGTAACTTGCATGCTAACTTTCCATCTCATTCCCTGTAAGATAGTAATCATGTCTCCTTCCATTCTGTTTTCTCTGTCTCTCTCTGATTGTTTTTACATGACTCTGGCCAGACTATATATATATATATGTTGTATCTAACTTATCTCACTCTCTTTCTATATATATATTATCTTTTTCTATTATTAAATACTACTTGATTAAAAGAAATTGTGTAAATGATAACTGATAATTGAAAATTTAGAGACCCACTCAGAGCTATTACTAACATTTATTATCTTGCCTTTCAGCTCATTATTTTCAGATTGTAAGTTCTAAACATTACAGTCATACTATAGATACAGTGTTCTGTGGTTTTTAACAGAATTGGAATTTCATTGCGAAAGCAATTGAATGAGATTGATCCAAATTTACAGAATCATTTCCCTTTTTCTGTATATGTAGGTTATTAGTATATTTCCTTTCTCATGTTGCAGTAGACATTTTTTTGGTAGAAAGCTTTTTCCAAATTGGGGATTAAGGGAATGACTTTTGAATGGTCTCCATGCTACCCCTTACCAGGCTGCCATTACCCACTCCATACCCTCACCCCACTGCTGATGTAATTTATGACTCTGGCTTCTTATTTGTTTGAAGCCAGTCCCTTAAGGAGTGACCTCCCAGTGTCTTCAATTATTATTTTAAATGACGCCTTAGGCCCTGCCTGGCACAGTGATGCCCTCACCTTCCCTCCTGCCTTCCAAGCACAGAGCTCAGCTGCCAAACTAGCTATGCCCCCTCCTGTCCTCAGAGCTGCCTCCAGAGTCCCAGCAGAGAAGCAGATTAACCCCTTTTGTTAGCAGAGGTAATTTGTCTGGGCTCAGCATTAATAAGGAATGCCATAAGCAGTTGGGGTCAGGAAGAACAGATCTGTCAAGCCCCAGGGTTAATTTAATAGCAATCTGTTGGCTGTCTGCCTTGTATATTAGCCGTGAATCCATTGCTATGTTTTGCTTTTGCCCCTCAGTTCTTTGGGACAACAGGGAAATAATTTGGATAGAGAGCTCTGAAGGATAGGGAAGAGAAAATTGACTGTCAAAATGCATCATTCTGTTTCCAAGATAATACAGTGCTTATCTTTTTTTGCTCTCCCTTCCAGCATGAAGGGCAAAACCACATATGTTGAAAGTGTGTATCTCTCTTTAGAACAGAGGGAGAAGAAAGGCCTGGGTTTCTAGATGACACAGATGTGAAATATCCTGTTCCCATCATCCCCTTAAAGCCATTGAACTTGGTAACTAGTCTCCTCCCAAATGATTTTAGAGCTCAGCAAATCCTCCGTAAGTTAACAATTCAAGACATCCTGTATGTTTTTGTCCCAGTTTATGGTTCAAAAAAGAAGAAGATAATTATCAAATCATAGGACATAGAAGTCCCGAGTCAGATGCTGTGTCCAAATTCTGATTCTGAAAAATGTGGCCACCAAAGTGGTCAGTGAATTAAAAAAAAACAGGCTGCTCTCTCGGATTCACCCAGGAAATTTCAAGAGAGCCAGAATTACTGCACTCAGAAAGGCTGGCCCTGGAAAGGCCTTTCCTCAGGGGAGGAGAGTAGCATGTGGTCAAGAACCCAGGCTCTGAAGTCAGACAAACTGGGTTCAGATCCCAGCTCTGCTCCCTGCTAGTCCTACGACCTTGATTAATTTACCTCCGTTACTGAATAGCACTGACCTACTAAGGCTGAGATGAAGGTCAAATGAGATAATAGAGCGCACTTGGTGAACATTAACTGCTGGTTATTATTATCGTCCTTTTCGTCTTGTGATCATGGTTATTAAAAAGAGGATTAGAGTCATCCCTGAACCTCAGAGTCAGATATTCTAGTCAAAAGGGAGATGCTTGGGGATGACAGATGATGGGGAGGCTTGGGCAAAAGGGAGGATGGATCCAGAGGAAGTAGCCCTATGCAGACCCAGTGCTCATATCCCCATGATGGTGTTCTTGATGGTGGGGGATGTTCCTTCCTGCTTTCATAGATATCTTTAAGCACTTCGTTTTCACAAGTTCTGACTCTGGGGCTTTATTTTTAGGTGAGAAAAAAATAACCGTAGATGTGGCACCTCCCCCTCCCACACAGCCAAGATCGCTTCCAGTTAAGCTTGTTTTTAGAGCTATCCTGGTAGAGGTTGAGAAAGCTGACACCAGATTTTCTTTCCCTATTTTAGGAAAAGAGAAACATGCTCACTGTCATGGTAGTCTTTGGAGGCTCTTTCTGGAGGAAATCTGACAGCCGCTGAACACTAACTTCTGCTTACCCTATCCCATGCTGTGGCCACACAGCCCAGGGCAAGGGTCAGTGGGGCTGGAGGGAACATCAGAGATGCAGCTTGGGGCCTCCCAGAAGACTCAGCCTCCTGTTCCCCAGCATATGGTGCTACATGCAATAATATTTATAACTCAGGCAGCAGTTGAGTTGAAAGATGGTATGTTGTGACTCCAGGGGAACCACATACTCTGGAGACCCAAGTAATATTTACATCTGGGTTTGGTGGGGGAAATTGTAGTAAAATGTAGTGTCAATTCAGTCGCAAACTAATTTTAGAAAGAACCGACAGGACTTCTAAGAGATCATTGAAGGGGAACAAGGCACAACCAGATCCAGAGCCATTATCGCCCCAGAGTGCATGCTGGAGCACAGTTGATGTTTGATAATAGATGCCTGTTGGTGCTGGTATGACCAAAAATACCAGTGCACTCACTTGTACCTCATGTAAACTCTAAAGAGGGAACTGTGAAAAGCATAAGAAACTTTCATCCATCCCAGACTAATAGCATGGTCTGTTGGATCAATGCATTATTTCCCAAAATGGGATACTAAGCTCCTGGCACAGATATAAACATGTTTATTTTCATTGGTATGCGTTTATTACATGTACATTATTCAAAATGTAACTAGCTCATTAAATCCATGATTTTATGAATATTGGATTACAGCTTAAACAAGGCTAAGGAAACAAAGTGAGTCGATATAAACCAATCTAAAGAAAACATGTTAAGCAAATACCACCTGGTGATATACATATGGGGCCAAAACCCAAAGCGGCTCAGAAGTGATGAAGTCTAGGAAAAATGGGCAACATTTTAAATGGTCAGCTTTTCTATGTAACAGCATCCACATCACGAGGCCTGTTCTTCTGCAGGAAGTTTTGGGTCCTCAGACAACACATCAGCACCAGTCAGATGCCTCCCATCTGTACGTGGGTCCCCCAAGCTCTGGGTAAGGTATGAAGGAATTGACACAAACCCACAAACCCCTCATATATGCCAGACCTCCTCCTTGTGTCCTTGTGTCCATTGAGTCACCTCCATACTTAAAGGCCAGATGTTTCATTTCAATATACAAATATGTGGTCTTTAAAAATAGAATTATAATAAATCTTGATCAGAAAGGAAAATACTGAGGAAGAAAAAAACAGATGATAAAGATATATTCCCTGGGAGGCTAAAACTGTCCCACCATATGACTGGATGGCTTTTTTCAGGTGCTTGAACTCCCACACAAGCTCTACAACAAATCACAGCTTATAGAAACTTGAGATCCTCTTTATCTTCAATAAGAGAAATTTTGCAGTTACTCAGGAGCACAAATTTCATGCCTGAGATAAATCCTAGTGCTTCCACTCTAGCCATGTGATGAGGCCAGCCTCAACCTCCACCCCGATATATGGGGATAAGAAAAAGACTGGTTATAGAGCTGTTCTAAGGATTAAATTAGATAAAGTATATAGTGTGCCTTGCACAGCAATTGACCTGTTAGGATCGGTGTTCACTAAATGGTAATAGCTCTTATTGTCACCCACATGTTATTAAAGAAGATCTCAGTGGGCACCTGGGTGGCTCAGTCGGTAAGCATCTGACTTCAGCTCATGCTGTGATCTCACAGTTCATGAGATCGAGCCCCACATTGGTGAGCTCAAGCCCCATTTGGGTACAAGCCCTGCTTTGGGTAAAACAGGAGCCCCGCTTCTCTCTCTGCCCCCCCCCCCACTTGCACCCTCTCTCTCTCTCTCTCTCTCTCTCTCTCAAAACAACAAAAACAAAGATCCCAAGGATTTTGTAGAAGAGGATTCATAGTGTGTCATAGATAACTTTTATCAGCCCAGGAGTCTGGGGAAAGATTCACATAAACTGAACTTATTTCATTGGAATGGGACTAGTTTCTTCACCAGTGTTGTCAAATGAGAAATGAAAGTCTTTCATAAAATGCAGCTCAGCACATTTTAGCATGATTGCACAAGCAGATAACTTTGATGGTCGATGGGACATGTTCTATATGTTATGGAGGATGAAATGCTCCTAAAGGGCCAGGGAGACCAGAGTTCTAATGATGCATCTGTGTCCTGGGCATCCCTGGGCCACGTCTGCCAAGCCCAGTAGTACCCTCGTGTTTGCTCACAGAGTTCCTGGGAGGGTCCATTGTGTGTGGTAAACACTCACCTGTTACACGAAATGCAGGCAGCGCTGCTACGAGTCACCCCAGCAGGTCTGCCCCCTTCTCCCGGTCCCTTCCTTGACTCGTCCGTGCCAGATATCGTTGACATTAAGCCGGCCAACATGGAGGAGCTCACGGAGGTGATCACAGCAGCTGAGTTCCACCCCCATCACTGCAACACCTTCGTGTACAGCAGCAGCAAAGGGACAATCCGGCTGTGTGACATGAGGGCATCGGCCTTGTGTGACAGGCACACCAAATGTGAGTAGCAAGCAACATGGAGTAGCTGGGGGAAGGAGGGGGACACTGGGCCCTGACATGCGGGAGGAGAAGCAGAGAGCCCAGGGGATGTGGATCTCCTTCCCTGCCTTCCACACCCCTGCAGCCGAGCGCACACGTTGGCCTGACTCAGGAGTCAGCTCCATGCCCCGTGTTTGGGTACAGATGGAACGTCATGTTCAATTCCACAAATACTCGCTTAAGGCGAATATGGAATCCAGAGATGCATGAGACACGAGCTGTGTCACATCACATTATGACACGATCTGAATGATGTCTTGAGATCACTCTCACTGCTGTGGGGAGAATGTGGGGAGAATGAATCTGAGGAGCTCCCTGAAGGGAGGCCAGGTCGGGGATCATTGCACTATGCTGGCAGGAGATGCACGTGGCCTGCACAGGGTGCCGGTAGGAGGTGGAGAGGTGCTGGTACGTTCTGGACAGACCTTGGTGAGAGAGTTAACAGGGCCTGCTGGACTGTGCGAGAAGCTGAGAATATGCAAGCCATCATGAAGGGCACCTGGCGATGGTGGCTAAGTTAATAACACTGCAGTGTATATTTAAAAGTGGCCAAGGGAGTAGATCTTAAAAGTTATCATTGCCAGAAAAAGAATTTGGAACTTTCCGTGCTGATGAATGTTAACTTGGCTTATTGGTGATTATTTTGCAACATATACATAAATCACTGTGTCACGTACTTGAAACTACTGTAATGTGTCTGGGTTATGTATCAGTTAAAAAAAAGAAGAATAGCACCTGCAAGAAGGAGTTAATGCCTTCCTGGTGAGGTTGTGGCTCTGGGAACCAGAACTCTAGAAGTCCCAATGGCCAAAGTGGGCACCATAGAAAAGCTTCAGAGAAATGGAATGGGTTACATAATGTGTAGCCAGACTCACAGGCTCTTGGGCCACACTGGTTTTCAGGCCACTGTTGGAGAGAGAAACAGTTCCAAGCTAGTAGGGACTGAGTACTTTGAAGCCAAAGGTCTAAGAGCCATGTCACTAGGTAAAGCCTATTGGCAATGACAGCAAGTGCTGTGGTAGAAGGGATGGGCCTGCAGCTTTCTCGAAAAGAAACAGCTCCCCAGAGTAGGCGTGCGTGAAGGCACTGAAAATCCATGTCTAGTGTCTGACTGAATAACGTGCAGCTGCCAAGATATTCATGAGCGACTAGGGCTCTGTTTGTTTCCCCGCTACCGTCTGCTCCGTGTTATTTAGCATCTGCGGTTTGCTGTGGAGACCCAGGAATTAGGACCTTTCTCTCCAATAGTCCCACTTTCCAATTTCAATCCCTGTGAGACATGAGTACTGTGATGACTGTCAGTGTATGGCAAGGAGAGGGGTGAATGTCTGGGTCATTTGGATAATCTTTGTTCGCTCATTTGGTGTGAGAAGTATCGCACAGGGGAACTGGTTTGTAAGGTGCAGTGCTGTGTACACTGTCTGCGTTCTGGAGCTCCACAGACCCAGGTCAAAGCCAGAGGCAAAATGGGTAAAACAATAACTTCCACCTCAAGAGTTTGTCATGGGACCGAGGTGAGGTAACTATTCAAAACTGTTAGTGTGCGGGGCGGCTGGCTGGCTCAGTGGATAGACATGCAACTCAATCTCAAGTATGAGTGGGAGCCCCATGTTGAGCCTAGAGCCTACTTAAAAAAACTTGTTAAGGTTATGTTTTACTTTTTTTTATGTGTGTTTTACACTTACAGCCAATCCCACTTAAGATTATCTACATTTCACATGCTCAGTAGCCATATGTGGCTCATAGCTCTCCTGTTATTATACCTGTGTAAGACCTTTCCATCATGGCAGGATATTCCTTTGGAGAGGACCCGTCTAGACTATTTACTCTGTGGACCTCTTTTGTTTTGCTCATAACTGTTTCCCCACACCTAAACCAGGGCCTGGCACATCATGGATTATGAATAAGTATTTGCTCGTGTGTGTGCACTGACACCTTTGAGCAGCACTTACTTATGGAGGCCAGCAAGAGGAGAAGTGTTCAATGCAGAAGGATCAGCAGGTGCGAAGGTGCTGAGCTCCAAAAGATCAGAATGTTAGTGGAACTGCAGGGCGAATGATACAGATGGTATATAGGGAATGACTTGGAAAAGGAAGTGATTTGAAGCTGAGGAGGAATGCAGGAGCCTGATCATGTGGCCACGATGAAGAACTTGAATGTTTTCTCAAAGTCAGTGAATAGCCACTTAGGTAACCGGTACAATAACATCAGAATTACTTGTTACAGAAATTTCTTAACAGCAGCACCGTTGAATTTGGGGCACACAGTTCTTAGGGGAAAGGGGGCTCCTTTGTATTACAGGACGTTTAGCAGCATCCCTGGCCTCTCCCCTAGATGTGAGTGCCCAAGACAAGTTGTGACAACTGAAACTATCTCCAGACAATGTAAAATACCCAGGAGGAAGAAAATTGCTCTTGGTTGAGAACTACATATCTAGACTAGTCTCTGGCCATACCAGCCTGAATGGCCCCGATCTCATCTGATCTCGGGAGCTAAGCAGGGTTGGGCCTGGTTACTACTTGGATGGGAGACCTACGTATCTAGACTACAATTCCTTATCAGTCCTTCAGCATGATTTTCTTCTATCTTCGATGGTTCTCTTCCCTTCCACTGGAAAGGGAAGGAATCTTCTACATTCACTGCATTGAAAATTTGGCTCATGACTTAAGATGTATCTGGGAAACATTTCGGGAACAGTGTGTAAGGCAGCGTGTTAACACCCACATGAGCGTTGGTGATAGTCAGGTGTTAGGATGTTCTGAGGAGGGTGGGACACTTAGGATAGACGTCACAGGGAAAAGCCGAGGCTGAGGAGTCGTGTTGAACATCAGTAGGATTCAGTTAGGTGGGAAAGAGAGACAGAAGGGTGTTTGGGGCAGTGCAAACAAATTGGGCAAAAGCCTGACGTTAGGAAGTTACATGCAATCTTCTTAGAGTCTTAGTAAGAGGTGTCATTTGCGTGAACAGATATCAAGGAAAGGGTGAAATTGGGGTGACGATTCCTATCAGGTTGGTCCTTCATGATCAGAGTCAGAGTTTACGCTTCTTTGTATTCATTCATTCATTTGTGCATTCATTCATTCATTCATTCATTCATTCATTGAGCACCTACTCTGTACTCACAGTCTGGCTCCCGTGGTACCTGGTGTTTCATAAGCTTTTCAACTGAGGACACACAGTACTCTGAGGGCAGTCCATGAGCCTGGGTGCCATGGAGGAAGAGCACCCAGACGCAATGCAACCTCTCCTGTGGGCCCTCATGACCCAGCCCACCAGCACAGACAAAAAAGCAGTGAGACCTGAGGCCCCGGGGGAGGTGCCGACCACAGCAGATTTTCTTTGGAGTCTTTTCCATCCTAAAATTTCACATGAATTTTTTATTTTACTCCCATAAAGTGTTTATTTTCAGTTGAATTTAATAATCACATTTCTACCCCACTCCCAAGTTTCAAGCAAAACTGATGTTTCCAAAAGATGCAGTGTTCATGGGGTATTTGGGTGGCTCAGTCGGTTAAGTGCCCACGACTTTGGCTCAGATCATGAGCTCACGGCTCATGAGTTCAAGCCCCGCATCAGGCTCTGTGCTAACAGCTCAGATCCTGAAGCCTGCTTCAGATTCTGTGTCTCTGTCCCTCTCTCTGTCTCTCTGCCCCTCCCCAACTCATGCTCTGTCTCTCCTTCAAAAATAAACATTAAAAAAAAAAAAAAAAGATACAGTGTCCATCCTGTGGCTTGCTGTACAAATACCCATGCCCCAGTGTAAGAAACACAGTTTCTGATTTATGGAGAGTGATTGGAAATCATCTGGTGGGAGAACAGAGTTGCAGAATTTAAGTTTTGTGGAAGATTACAGTGGTGTTGGGAAGAAAGGTAGGAGAATTAGAAGATTTTGAGGGTGCCTGGGTGTCTCAGTGGGATCAGCGTCCAACTTCAGCTCAGGCCGTGATTTTGTGGTTTGTGAGTTCAAGCCCAACGTTGGGATGTGTGCTGACAGCTCAGAGCCTGGAGCCTGCTTCAGATCCTGTATCTCCCTCTCTCTCTCTGCCCCTCCCCTACTCACCATCTGTCTGTCTCTCTCTTTCTCTCTCAAATATAAATAAACATTAAAAATTTTTTTAAAAAGAAGAATTAGAAGATTTTGCTTTAGTCTCAATATAGAAGAAATTCATAACCTATAGAAGGATGGTGGCTGTGGAAATCAAAAGGAAGAAAAGAGGAAAAGGAACATTTGTTTAAAAATAATTACAGGTGCTATAAGTGTTATCAGACCTTGACAGATATCCATGTTATCACACGTGGATATTAGTTGTTCATTGTCTTTCCCCTCTGGACCACAAACTCTCTGATGGTAAGAACTAAATCAGCTTTGTTCTCATCATATTGCAAAGCCTAGCACATAAGTAGGTGCTCAGTAAATACTTACTAAGTGAGTTAATGCCTGAGGGTTGACATAAATGGCATATGGAACAGGAGCTGGTAAGAAGCAATACTGGGGCAGAGGGAAAGGTTGGGATTCAGCTGGGGACATGCTCTGTGTGGGGTGATGTGAGCTGTCTAAGAGCTGTCTAAACTGGGAGGGCCATGGATGCAAAGTGGGTGCCAGAGAGGGCTTGAGGAGCCCCAGGGTGTCCCCGCCCACAGTGGCAAACACGAGCCTGTGCTTTGATGTCCAGCCCAGATATTGAAGAATAAACTCACGGGGAGTCTTGAGGAACCCAGAACTCAGGATGGAAAAAGGACAAGGCCTTAGAAACTCCCAGAACTAGCAAAGTTTAGAGCAGACACTTTGGAATCAGAACTCCTCTCTGAAATTCAGTTACTGTGTGGCCTCGGGCAAGCTCTCTAATCCCTCTGAGTACCCAGTTCCTCATTTGAAAAGTAGGAATAATCAGGACAGCCTCCTTGAGCCAGTTGTTTACAAGTAAATGTCATCTTATGTGTCAGAACCTGGCATCTGCCGG